GCAAAAACGGACATTTGCCCGGATAACACTGCCGCTTGAGTGGGCAACTAGCGATGCCTTGTCACTCGAGCGACAGTCTAGCTATAGGAGGGCGACAGCTTCTCTGCTTTGTCGCTCGAGTATCCAGCAAGTGCCAGGCTAGCAAAAATGCAGTGAGAAGACCCTCCGTTCCATAATTTCAACATCTTCAAGTCCAACACTAATTTCAACTCCCCATAGGGCTTTCAAATAAAATTTCAATTAGAATTTGCCAAATAAACTTGAATAGCATTCCACAATAGGATTCTTCTTAATGTGCACTTTAATTAGGATTCCAATTATCTTCAACAAAGGAATTCGGGTTACTCCTAAAATCTAAGGCACCGTTTGGTAACCATTATTTTAGAAAAAAATGCATTCTTTGTGTCAAATCACACCTTTTTTGTGGTTGAAAATGAAGGAAAAGTTATTGATGTGATAGAAAATATTATTTTATTGATGAATATGTGGTTGAAAATTAGTAGAAGAATGAGAATGAAAAAAAGAATGGATACCAAACAGAGGCTAAATCTAATAATAGTGTTTTTTATGAATGAAAAACATGAATAAATTCTTTGTTATACTTCCTCTATTACTTTTTTTCGTGGTTGAGCTATTATAAAACATTGGTTCTGATGTAATAAATACAATAAATTTTTATTTACAGAAACAAAAGGAGAATTTTGTTTATTGTTATCTAATGTGTTATGACTGCATAAATTTTATTTACAGAAAAGGAGAATCTGTGCCTGTACGGGTTTCCAAATGAGACATGGGAAGTCAACCTGCCTGTTGAGGAGGTTCCTCCTGAACTACCTGAGCCAGCATTAGGAATAAACTTTGCTAGAGATGGCATGCAAGAAAAGGATTGGTTATCACTTGTTGCAGTTCACAGTGACTCGTGGCTGCTTTCTGTTGCGTTCTACTTTGGCGCACGCTTTGGATTTGGCAAGAGTGAAAGGTAATACTCTAGCCTTTATGGTGAACTACTTTGGCGATGCAGTAATATATTTTTCACAAAAAATTTCTTTAGATTTTGATTTATAAGTTCAGCTAGAAATTTTGGTCAGTTGATTGAGTCATTTTGTTTGTGTTATCTAATGTGTTCAAATGCTTTGTAAAATTTATGATTTCTGTAAATCTAGCCATTTTGGTCTTTTTATTTCTTATCAGTCTATTGCTTTGCTTGTGTCAATCCCTTTCCAACTGAAATTTTTACTCCCATTTTGCTGTAGCTATTGTTTATTTAATTCAGTAAGCTGATGCACAAAGTGTATTATTTTGTTGTTCTATTTTTGCTCTTGCGTGACCATCAGACCTTGTGTGTGCATGCATCCTGAAATTTTCTTCTCTGACTTTTATGCATGCTTGTTGTACTTGTTGCTTCACTAAAATTTTACAAGCCATTGAGAAAGCTTTCATGTGATGAAGTCCTCTAATTTTGGTTATTCTTTGCCTTGTTATACATTTATTTTTCATGTCAAACTCACACTTTACTTGTGTATGTATGCATCCTGAAACTTTTTTTCCTGGCTTGCAATTATAATCTCTGGGTTATACTTCTTGTACTTGTTGCTTCACTAAAATTTTGCATGCCATTGAGAAAGCTTCATCTGACAAATTCCTCTAATTTTGATTATTCTTTGCCTCGTTATACATTTATTTTTTCGTGTCCAACTCACACGTAATTGTGATATCCAAACTTTTTTCTTATACATGCTTGACCTGACCGGGCTAGGATGAAACTTGTTGCTGGCTCCACATGTTATGGCTGTCCCATTTCCACTTCAAATGGTAACTTAGTATTTATAAAATAAAATTTGACCTCAAAAGTTTTGCACTCTAGGGATGCTGGAAATTTTACATTGTTGAGTTGTTGTTTTCTTGAAATGACATAACACAACAAGATTTTACTTGCAATAGTAAAGAAAGAGTGAAGATACTTATGTAATTCAGTATGTCAGTATCTCTTTACTTTTTCAGTGCTTTTGATATCCCATTTTATCTCTGACATCTCTCGATCCTTTTCACGTGTGTTCTTTAATTCAAGTTTGAAGTGTGTGTTTCTCATTATTATAATATTCTTATTTTCAAGTTTTAAAATTGCATAAGAGAGTTTTTGAAGCACAAGCAAATTCTTCTGCCTATTAATCTAGTGAATCACATTGGATTACAGAAAAAGTTGTGTTTTAATGTACTCGTATAAAAGTGTAGGGGAGGTTGTTGACTTCTCTTGGAATTATTTTGTTTTTGTTCTGCAAATAAAAATTAACGTTTATAGATTTTTGTGTACTTCTTAAGTAGTGAGGGGAACTGATGTGATTGCTAAACCATCTAGGAGTTCGTGCTGTCTTTTAATAGGAACATTTTTGTGAATTGTTATTTACGGGTTGTTTCTTGGTCTGTGTGTGAGACTTTCCAACTGTTGTAACTGACACTTATGTTATACAGAGGACTGTCTTTCAATTTGATGAAAAAAGATTTGTGATCTAGGTCTTTGACCATGTATCCTGCATACTTTAAGAATTGGTTTGCACTGTTCTGGATTTTGATCTTTGTTCCATCTGAAAGCTTATAAAATTTAGACTTCTTGCCGCCTCTAATAAACGTATTGTTATTGGATGTTGCTATCTAGGTTTTGTCAGGAGATGGGGGTCTTTTTCAGTGTGTGTATTTGTTGTCCATTTCTGTAACTTTTATTGGAAATCGGTTTTGGCAGGAAGAGGCTTTTCCAGATGATTAATGATGTACCAACTGTATTTGAAGTTGTGACAGGAGCTGTTAAGCAGGTCAAGGACCCAGCAGTTTCTCAAAATAACAGCAGCAAGAGCAAATCTGGTGGGAGAATGGTAAGCGTTGTCTCACATAAATTCATGATTGGGCTTTGCTTTAAGCACGTCTGGCTAAGCTGAAAATGTGATCTTATAAATGGTTTAAAATAATAAAAAATTATTGGTCAAAATTGAAAACAAGTATGCTGGCAGCCATTTTTATTTATTTAAAAAGTAAGAAAAACTAATTTATCTAAACACATTCCTAAATAAAAGGTTACTCAAAAATAACTTTTGCTCACTTTTAAGCTTAGCTGAACATTCTCTTCGTCACAAGTTATAATTATGCACCATCATCTGTTTCTGCTTCTTCTAGCAGTCTCGCCAGCCTGATTCGGATCACAAGGGAGTTAAGATTTCTGCACCCAAAGACGAGGAGAGTGGAGAGGAGGAAGAGGAAGAAGAAGGAGAAGGAGAAGAAGAAGATGAACAAGGAGCAGTCTGTGGAGCTTGTGGAGACAACTATGGGGCTGATGAATTCTGGATTTGCTGTGATGTGTGTGAGAGATGGTTCCATGGAAAGTGTGTTAAGATTACACCTGCGAAAGCTGAACATATCAAGCAGTACAAGTGCCCCACTTGCAGTAACAAGAGGGCTAGAGTTTAAACTACCATTTTGGAAGTCGAAAGATCACGAATTGAAGGTGGCCCGTGTTTAGCTTATAAATTTGAATGTCTGCTGATGGGATCGAAATGTTGTGAACTTCTTCAGATTTCTATTAATCGAACTTTCTTGTATTTTAGGGATCTTCGTGGAGAAAAAATTGTGCTTTTTATTTTGAGTGTGATTTTGGAGACATTTTATCAGTAATGGTCTTGTAGTTCTTCTATGGTGGCTAGCATGCGTATCTTGGGTATATCTCTTCATTCATTTACTTGTACTTCTCCTCAGTCATTTCATCAAACAGGTTGATTTCCCCTACATATTAGTGCATTTATGTTCGCACACAATCAATACTTAATTTGAAAATTGTGGCAAGCTCTTATAAATGATGGGTAGACAAAGGCATCGGGTCTCACATTTCATTTCTGCACTTCGTCAAATAGCATGCAAGTCACTTGTCACACTGGGAATAGTACTAGAACATGGGTCTAAGGAGTCGCCATGTCAAAAATTGTCGACTAGACATATATATTGAACAAGAACCGACAGTATGATAAATAATATTTTTTGATTCTATCTTATTTGTCACTTGTTGCTTGCTAGAGGATCAGGATCACGAGCAGGTGGTTGTAGCAGTTTCTTCAGCTGGATAACACCAGACCTCCAAGAAGTGGAATGGTAGGCCAATGCATTTGTTTCAACATATGTAATATGTATATAAGAAATCAGTTTTCTCTTTAAAGAAACCCGTTTAACATATTTGTTAAACCAGGCTAAACAAGGCGCGCCCATTGGGCTGAACAGAAGTGGACGCATTTGTGGTTCGGAGGAAGTGCAAATTCTAGAACAGGCAACAGATACAGAACATAACACAGGAGGATCAAAGTTACCAGATTTTCAACTTACCCCTTGTTTATTAGAATCATTTTCTGTATTTATTGGCAAAACTAAGCCATTTTTTTTTCCCGGAAAAAGTATGAGCCCCTATTTGACAATTATTATTTTCAAACTTTTTTTTCTACGTACTCATTTTCAATCATTGCATTCTCACAATAAAATATTCTACACGTAAAATCAAAACTTTTTCCCACTTTTTAACCCCACATTTTCCTAAAAATCACTACTCAAAACTTTATTTTTCCTAATTAATGGTTGTCCAACAGGGCTAAATATCAGTGAAGGAAAATTTGATGTGAAGTGTGAACTGTTGTCTACATTAAGAGCATTAATCAAGTTTAAGTTAGTTGTTTTCTTCCAAGTTCTCGTGCATTGCATCTCTAGTCCATCATCAAACACTCCATTACAAAGGTAAACTACATTGGAAAGTATCTGCACAGGGTTTTTGCACGGTAATTTCTTTCATGCTTAGCAAAATATGGTACCAAAATGATGTCGGAAATATGGTGAAACTAAAATGAGTAAACAAATTCTTCGCGAATCATAAACAACTCATAATGTAGAAATCGGATGAAAATCGCAATGGGATTATGTTTCCAAGGACATCTATAAAAATAAGAGGAAAGCAGTTTGAACTAACACTAAAGGGTTTAATGGGCTGGAACTGCAGTGGCAGGATTCAATATTCTTTCAGCAAGTAACAAATCATCAGGGGTTGTAACCTGCAAGTTACGGAGCAGCAGCAGCATTAGTACATTAAGGTTTCAGATTCTTGTCATGTTACATATCAAATTATGAAGGAAAAGAAGATTTAAGAAAATTCAGATGATTCATGAAATTATATCACTACCTTGATGTTGGTATAGGATCCTTCAGTAATATACACAGGATGTTTAAGGTGCTCTACGATTGATACATCGTCGGTGACTTCAAGACCTTCCCTGCAGAATGAGGGAACAATTAAGGGGGAAAAGTTCATATCTGGAACTCTTTATTTTATGGAAATTCAGGACATGAATAACATAAAGGCAAATAAACCACTTTCATTGTCAAACATCTTCTGTGCTATTCATCCAGAGTTGAAATGATCATTGATTCATCGGTCTATGTGGGAGTGGGGCCACAACTACATTATCAAATTAAGCTTGAATGCATTTTTATGCATGAGACAGTGTGGTAGTGACCCCATTGCTACATAGATTAATGATCATCTGGACTCTTGCAAACATTTTGGCTGTCATAACATGTTTGGACAAGAGAAAGTTGAATTTTTTTTTTAACTTTCTTTTTATTGCGAAATATGTTTGGATGGGTTACTCTTTTCTCAAATATAAGTGAAAATGGTTATTCATTTTGACCATGAACTAGAGGCGTAATTATTTCTCACTTTGACAAAGAAAAAGTTATGTACTATAAAACTTATACGCTTATAAGTAGATAAGCCAAGCATGCAAATAATCAATTGTCAACAGGTGCAGCATTAAACCATTGCAACATTCTCGGATTGCGCGTTCATTTGGTACTCAACTCTCAAAAATTGAAATCTAACATATATTCTGAATAATCATTTATATGGACTACTGATGCTAAAAAGGTGAAATTCAGGTAAAGATGAAAATTTCGAAGTCACTAGGCATACTTGAGCATTTACATCCATGGTGCAAAAGTACTATATGGTGTTCCTAGGTTTTCACAGAGTTTTAACGTGCTGTCGACTTATGCATAACATAGAGAAGAATTAGCCCCGAGAGTGAAGAATGACCTATTAACAAGTTCAAAACCTTTCTTGAGCAAGTCAGGCTTGATAACCTGCACGAGTAGTTGACATCTTGAAGGTTTTATAAATCTCTCTCAAAAAATTCAGCAAAAATAAATTTCTGAATGTAATTTGATTCTAAATTTAGGAACCTGAGGGGTTTGCATTTCCCATAGCGTTTTCCTGTCCAGAGTTTTCACTACAAAGGATTCACCATTTGCCTGAAAATAAAGGTGTCGTGTGAGTACAAATAAATATACCGTGATGTCTCTATATTATATGAGAAATTATATTTCTGTACTAATTGTATGCGAGTGAGGGTGACAATAAGGAACCAACAAGAGTCAAATGTTACAGGAAGTGTTTAATAAAAAGCAACAATTTTTATTCATAGATGAAATCTTAAAATCGTACAGATAAAATGGCAGATTTCCAATTTCATTTATAGTTTAGGCTATAGTGGCTGAATATAAATGTGGACCTCTTTGATTGTAGCTTTGGCAGGAACACCTAGGACAGCTGCCCCAATAAGCCAACCATCCTTTAGAACCTGGTAAAGAACCAAAAAATTGAGCGAACACATAACTTCTACTTAAAAAATTATAGGGGCCAAGAAATCATGAATTGCGAAGGTGGTTTAGACTAAAGTACTTGGCTAATCTTAACAGTAAAAGTTCATTTTATGTAACTTTTTCTTACCAAACATATTTGAATAAGTAACTCTTTCTCTTTTGAGTTAAAAAAGGTCACTTAGAACGATACTCTTCCCTTCATATCAAAATAAGTAACTCTTGTTTTCAATTTTGACCAATAAACAATAATTAGTTTTTTTAATTATAAGTATACATTTTAAGCTTAGCCAAAGATGCTCTAAATAAAGCAGTAAAAGAATGAGATTGTTCTACATTGAATGACAAACCAACAAAATAGAAAATGGTGAAACCTCATAGAATTGTTTTGAGTTGAAGAGAAAATCTGATCTAAAAATAGTTATTTTCAGTAAATATAAAATAAACGTTAAAACAATATGATAACAGGAGGAAAATTTTACAAATCAAGCAGATGTACAAACCTTAGCTACATCTTCAGCTGATACCAGAGGTCTTGCAGAATCATGAATGCAGACAAGTTGAGAATTCAAATCAACTTCCTGATGCACGAATAATCAAAGAGAGATATAACTATTGCAGATTACAATAAATTACTCAATAACAATGCACTGTGCCTTAGTCCCGATAAAATTGAGATTAGCTATATGAATCCTTTTTGTCATTCCATCGTGTCCATTGTCACGTCAAATCACAATAATGCATTAATTTGATATAAGAAAAATGCATCTTATTGTTTCAACCAAAAAACAGGTATTTTACGGGCTTATCAAAATACCATTAGCTGAAAGTAGCTTGTGAACATTCAATTGACACACTATTTTAACATTAATCATTGATTATTTCAAAATGTATGAAACATCAGCAATCGGTCGAAACTCAAAGAGTATATGATCTTTATGCAAACTCAGGAATCAAAAGGCGGAAGGCAGTGAAAAGAGAAGCTTATTTCTATAGAAGGCAAAACAAAATTGGAAATTGAATCTCTTACCATCGGTAGTCTGTGGAGAAATAGAAAAAGATAACCAGAAGTGATATCCAAAACTCCTGGTGTTTTAGTATCTTGGGACACGGGGAAGACGAGGGGGTAAATTGTCATAAAGAATTTAAAATAAAGGTAGTAAGGAATAGATATATCTGTAATCCAAGTTAATGACATGGAAAACCAGAAAGTGCTTGTACCTGAAGTCCACTATATACTGAATCTTGTCGCTCCTTTCCGGGCAATGCAAATTTGAGGTCCACATGGATGCTATCCTTAGCATCTGGAAAATTGGCAAAAATAATTTCTTATTTTTTAACCACTGAGAAAGCCAAACCTGAAAACTATCAAATTGCAAGCGCATAGCATTTTCATATGATGTACGACTTTGCAGAAAGTGCTCGACTTTTTTTTTTATCTTGGGTGGAGAGGACGGCATTATTTTAGTAAATGCATATACAAAATCTTCAGACCTTCAAAGATGTCTTGATAAGAAGGATCACAAACTACGACGATCTCCTTTACTTCAGGCATCTTTGAGAAAGTGTAAAAACTGCAATAAATTATCACATCGTAATTTTGAAAAGCAAAAACGAAAAGACTAAAAAGATTAGTTTTGAAATGCTTCCCTCTTATTTTTATTTAATATTTAAGAGAGCTTTGCCAGGATCTGGCCACAGAAATTTATGTCCCAATCTCAAAATGGTCACAAGTACAAGGAATCAGTTGTCACTCACCTATAGAGTGCAATTGGTTGGCCTAGTAGTGGAAGATACTGCTTTGGCATGCTTGCCTATTTGCACAAAATAAAATAAAACCATCATCTGGGAGATGGAAATAGACTGCAGAGGTGGAGAATATAGTACCATAAACTCATGGAAGCACAAACACAGCTAAACAGATGCATATAGGAAACCAAGTATGTTCACTGGGATTGCCATGTTAGTCTATGCCTGAGCCATATTCTTCTACAACTTCCACAACTTTCAAATTTTATAATTAATTAAATTTGATATTTGTTTACAAAAATGAGTCTCGTGCCCTACTAACTTGACCGATGATAACTAAAAGTACTCCTGTGTGATTTGAAAAAAATGGCAACCAACCAAGATTATGAATAAAAGGTCATCAGACTCATTGGTAGTGTACACTCTACTAGTTTAAGCTGTAACTCTGCTTATTATGCTTCTGACCTCATTTGATTTAATCATCAGCAAGTCTGCGGTCATCACATTCCCCTTGTTTTGACTGCCAACAAGACTAACAGATTGGTTATCTTGTAGATTCAACTTCTCTACCACATGAAGTTGGCTAGAAAGTTTCAATGTCAACATGATATAAGGTTTTAAATTTCATTACAATGTTCTTTTATATGAAATCAGGCCTAGTCAAATTTGCACCATTGGCAATACTATATCGAAAATGAAAAATCTTCAAGCTATAGAATTTATCCGCTTCAACTCCACTTGAAAGAATTTGAAGTAGGAATGGAGGTACTGGCAATATTTCAATTGGCAGCAATATTGTTTAAAAAAATATATAAACTTTTGTGATGTACATCCAAAATTCGAATATTTCATAGTATTTACACAATCCTACATCGAACCACTTAACATACAAGTGCAACCACAATCATACGTATTAAAGAAGTGGAAAGATTTTACAAATCCTCTGATCTCCTTTTCGGCCTTTGCGAGTCAATTATATTCAGTTCATAGTTTCTAACAATGTGAATTCTTTTTTTTATTACTAAAAGAGACTTACACCCATTCTTTTACCCTTTCCTCCCGCAAGCAGAACCACAGAAACACTTTTCTCTTTCACCACCAGATCAGAGCCCTGCTAATCATGAAAACGTATACAGAAATCCCAATTACTTAAATAATCCAAATTATTCAAACACCACAGTTCACGTTATATTATGGGTTTGGACTACCTGAGTAGCTTTTGCAGAGCAAGTAATTCTTGAACGAATAAATTTGTGGGTTCTCAAGGATTTGATTTTGTTAGCACAATTCAACAGAAGCGAACAGTTGTTGAACTGGTTGTTGGGGTTGGAGAATGAGAGTAGGAATTTAATGGAAAATTGGGAATTGGTTCCCAAGAATTGTTGACAAGAAGGAGAAATTGGAGTACTAAATTGAAGTGAAGACATCGTGTTCTTGCTTACTCTGTGCAGGTAGTCAACCACCAAGAGAAAGATTGTGCGTATTTCAGATTGGTTGAATCCGCGAGAAGTGTACGAGTTTTTGAGAATATTTTAGCCGCTACGCATGTCCCGCGAGGGGAATATTCACAGTTGGTAACAATATTTTGCAGCTTGTTTGGCTAGTCTTAGTTGCCATTAAAAAAATACTTTTACATATGTTTATCTTAAAGGCATGTTTACTACGAAACCCTATTTGGTGCACATTTTTTCCCAAGAATACTTTTTTTTATACGTGATGGGGAATATGTGGTTGAAAAAGAATGCAAAGTTGTTGATATGATGGAAAATATTATTTTATTGAAGAATGTGTGGTTGAAAATGAGTAGAAGAATGACAATGAAAAAAATAATGTGGCCCAAACAGGGGCTAAAATAAGTGAAATTACTTGGGCAAGATGAATTAAATTATGATTGTTAGATGAGGAGCAAGGATACTTTAAAGTTAACCTAGCATCGTTGGAGAGTACCGTTTTAAAAATTACAATAGATTTTATTATTTGCAATTTTAAAGATTTTATCAAAAGAACATATTACTAAATTTACCCGTGTAAGAAATTAAAAATAATTACCGTCAGCCTCAACAAGAAATTCGTCGTCCTTCTATTATCAAGCAAATTCCTCTCCCTTCTCCCACTCGTTAGTGCTTCTTGTCAATTAATGGTGACACTACCTGCGATTGTGCTTGTTTATTGAAGAATGAATTGACGATGCAAAGATATTGTGATTAAAGGAACTCATTGGAGACATAGTGAAAGCAAGTCTTACCGTTTATAGATTCCAACTTGGGCAACCTATCCATGACTAGGATGGAGTTTGCGTGAAATTTGAAACTAAGTGAATATTCAAACTCCAAACTAACCGACGTTGACTGAGAAATTGTGATTAAGGGTGAAATGTCATTCAAACTCAAGATTAGCTAGTTTTCTTCGAAATGCATTAAGACTTCACAATTGATTGAACATCTAGAAGCAAAAAGGATTAATGCATGTTATGGGAAAGTGTTACCACATGAATGAAATCTCGAAGAATAACATTGTTAAATTTTGAAGTTTATAAAGAGTTTCGCTCGTGTGTTCGTTCGGATCTCCAATGTCAATTAAAATTTCATTTAACGATCTCAAAAAAGGCCTCGTCCATAACCATACTTGACTTGACTCGAGGGATTCGGACATTTCCACTGCCATTTGTGACTTTGTGTCAATGTAAAAGAGCATATATTTTGTGTTGGACTAAACCCACTAAGCTCCTTTAGACCCAAGCCCAACAAAATCCATGGGCCGATACAAGATGGGCCCATCTCTACCATTACCATTTTCCTCTTCCATTCCAAATCCAAAGCATTCCCTCAAGCTAATCAGGAGAGCATCATCAATGGCGAAACCGCTGGGACACACAGGCGAGTTCTTTAGGAGAAGGGACGAGTGGCGGAAGCACCCGATGATGACGAACCAGTGGCGCCACGCCACCCCCGGCCTCGGCATCGCGCTCGTCGCTTTTGGTATTTACGTTGTTGGTGAAGCCGCCTACAACAAGATCTACGCTCCTAAATCGCACTCAAACACTCACTCTCACTCCAATTCTGCTCCTGCTTCTGCTGTTCATTAGAATTTCCCCTCTATCTACTAGGTAGGAATCGATCTTTTTGACGCGCATATGCGTATAGGATGTAGTTGATTTGTGATTTATTGGTATGGCCTATTTTGTGGTAATTTGGAATTTTGGATTTATATTGGTGTTTGCGTTTTTCAAATTTAAGATGTGGGTATTATTAAATATACATGAACACCTTCTATCAACAAGATATGAATCGCTCTTGAGGCACATGTGGGGTAGCGTATCTATGCTTTCTAGGGTACGCTAACTTTTTGCAAAAATTGGAATTTTGGATGTATATTGCCATTGGCTTATTTTTCAATTTTAAGAGATGGGTCTTCTGTTAATATGCATATTTGTGTTAGTTTGCGTCAATGGGGCATTTCTCATTTTCTAAAATTTAGGGTCTTTAGAATATGAACGCTATCAGACTCTACTTTTAAGAAATGACGTGCCTTGTATTTATTCATACTCAAGATGAGTGGACGGATGTACAGGCTTTTAACTTCTTTTGGTTGTTATGACTTATGAGTGGACGAAGATTGTGAAAGTTTAGAATGCTTAATCAAGTTTTAATTGATTGATTAGTATACGAGTCTTTGGTGGCATGAAACAAGGGCTTTAGAATTTTAACTAACGAAATATCAGTTTCAATGTTGAGTGTCCAATTCTGTGCCAACAAACATAGTGTAAGGGTAATAGCTAAGATATTGTCATGATTATGAACTCAAATAGCTAATTGACATTTGTATCACGTCTGCACTTGCTGTGATTCTTGGTTCACATTTCAGAATTTGCACATGAACTGACATCGCTGCACGATGTTTATAGATAAATAGACCTTTACTCCTTGCTCTTCATTACATTGGTTGGGGTGCTAGTCAAATCATGAGAATGTTTCTATATTTTCAAGCAAAGAAGTTAACCACTGTAGAAAATATTTTCGAAAATGTGCAAAACAATCACACTACTTTCCAAGGTTTGGACCCATCATCAGTGTTAGAAACTTGTTTAAAACATTCACACAGACATCTTTTTTGCAGTCCTTTATAAAACAATGCTTCCAGACAGGACGTAAACTTTCTTAGTGTTGTTCTTTTCTTATGAGTTCTATGTGGAAGATTTTCAGTTTTCTAGTTTGGGTGTAGAATTCAGCTATTTTTACCTTTGGTGAAACTTGACACAAAATTTTGATTACGAGCAAAGTGTGGGGGTATGGAAATGTGTTAGAAACAGCTCTAGCTTTATTATAAGATGCAAGAGGGATGGCTGCGATACATTGGTTCTGCAGAGAGGAATAGAGTCCATGATGGGGTTAAAATGGAGAGTAACGTTTACTTTCTTGAGATTTCTGAAAATTTATTCAGTTAGATTAAAACTTTTTACTTTCTTGATTATGCAGATGAACGCCCGGGGCCAAGGATTAGGCACAATCATATTTATCACTCTTCTCTGTTTCTCTATCAGCGTTTAATAAGCTCTCAGCGTCTTTTGCCTTCAATGAGCAGAACTCTGAATCTGTAACTAACTGAATAGTTGTATGATGAATGGTCTGTATCCTTTACTCTTATCTCAGTGTGGTTGTTTTTCTTATGTTACATTGATTATGGTACCTGTGGTTTATCAATTGAGTTTTTCTGTTAAAAAACATGATGTTTTTCGAGTTCTGGCTATTTATATCTGTTTGTTTGAACAACTTCGTGAATTGGAGCTTTTGTAATGCCATGTCTGAAGAACCAAGCCTCATGTCTTGAATTAGTTATGTCAACCCGTCCTGTTGCTGGGGATTTTACCATCTCGTCCCTGGCCTAAACCCTGCTTAAGGGAAGGCGGGGTGGAAGGCCCCTAGTTTTTTGGAAAAATACATAATTACAAATTTCAAGAAACAATTTTAAAAATAAGAAACTTGTGAAGACGTTTTAAAAATCAGGTAGTCACATTAACTAATTAAACATGTTAAAGTCACAATAACACTCAATTTATGGTTACCGTCATAAAGACACAAATTGTGTGTCACAGTTACAAATGTGGTTGCAATCACACATTTGTTAAAGTTTCATATTATTTATTGGTTACAAACAGTCTTCATCCCAATTCACCCCACCACCACCAGCTGCATCAACAACCATCATTTGCAAATTGATCCTCAATTTGAAATTGCAAGTAGGTGCCTATAATTTTACAAATTGCACTCGAGACCTTGTCTTCGAATTCTCACCGGAAACCTAAATTTTCTTCTTCACTTTCTCTACGGCTTTGGGGATGGTGACATGAGGTGCGCCATCTCAAGGCACGCCGCAAACCGTAGCGTCATGCGTTACTCTGAACTCTGAAGTGGTGGTGGCAACAGACAATGATGGTAGGCGATATTTGTGTTGATGTGGATGTGAATTGTGATTTGGGGAATGGGTAAAGGAATAGGTGGGGTGATATAAGGTGATGTGGAGTACAATATTACCTGGTTTTGAAAGAATAAAATTAAAATCTGATTTTTAAAATGATAAGTTAAAAATAAGGACTTGATCTAATTTCCTCTAGTTTTTTTAGTTTTTGTGCATGTAAATTGTTGAGCCTAAAATGGGACTTGTACATCCTCTGTACCATTGACGAATTCTCAGAAGACGGCTGGAAAAAAAACAAAAACAAACAAACAAAACGACACTGAAATATGAATTGGTCTTAAACCTAATCACAACATTAAGAATTTAAGACATACTTGGTGTACAGAGAAAAAAAAACTACACCCATTGTACTGTTAAAAAAACACTCTTCTCTGTTTCTCTATCAGCATTTAATAAGTTCTAAGAGAACGCCTTTTGCCTTCAATGAGCAGAACTCTGAATCTGTAACTAACTGAATAGTTGTATGATGAATGGTCTGTATCTTTTACTCTTATCTCAGTGTGGTTGTTTTTCTTATGTTACATTGATTATGGTACCTGTGGTTTATCAATTGAGTTTTTCTGTTAAGAAACATGATGTTTTTCGAGTTCTGGCTATTTATATCTGTTTGTTTGAACAACTTTGTGAATTGGAGCTTTTGTAATGCCATGTCTGAAGAACCAAGCCGCATGTCTTGAATTAGGGATGTCAACCCGTCCTGTTGCTGGGGATTTTACCATCTCGTCCCTGTCCTGATCCCTGCTTAAGGGAAGGCGGGGTGGCAGGTCCCTAGTTTTTTGGAAAAATACGTACATACAAAAATTTCAAGAAACAATTTTGAAAATAAGAAACTTGTGAAGAAGTTTTAAAAATCAGGTAGTCACATTAACTAATTAAACATGTCAGTCACAATAACACTCAATTTATGGTTACAATCACAAAGACAAATTGTGTGTCACAATTACAAATGTGGTTGCAATCACACATTTGTTAAAGTCGCATATTATTTATTGGTCACGAACAGTTTTCATCCTACTTCACTTCATCACCACAGCACCACTCAAACGTTGCATCACTCCACCACCAGCTGCCTCAACAACAATCATTTGCAAATTGATCCTCGATTTGAAATTGCAAGTAGGTGCCTGTAATTTTACAAATTGCACTCGAGACCCTGTCTTCAAATTCTCACCGAAAACCTAAATTTTCTTCTTCACTTTCTCTACGGCATTGGGGGTGGCGACATGAGGTGCGCCATCTCAGGGCACACCGCAAACCGTAGCGTTATGCTTTACTCTGAAGTGGTGGTGACGACAGGCAATGATGGTAGGCGATATTTGTGTTGATGTGGATGTGAATTGTGATTTGGGGAATGGGTAAAGGAATAGGTGGGGTGATATAAGGTGAGGTGGAGTACAATATTACCTGGTTTTGAAAGAATAAAATTAAAATCTGATTTTTAAAATGATAAGTTAAAAATAAGGGCTTGATCTAATTTCCTCTAGTTTTTCTGCATGCAAATTGTTGAGCCTAAAATGGGACTTGTACATCCTCTGTACCATTGACGAATTCTCAGAAGACGGCTGGAAGAAAAACAAAAACAAACAAACAAAACAACACTGAAATATGAATTGGTCTTAAACCTAATCACAACATTAAGAATTTAAGACATACTTGGTGTACAGAGAAAAAAAAACTACACCCATTGTACTGTTAAAAAATTAACAGTTTTTATAACCAATCATTTTTGAAAAATGTTAGATGTATATCAAAAAATGTATATCAAGATCTATATCCCCTCACATGAAGGGGTCCACTAAAATAAAATATTCGAGTGGACCCTTTACCCATATGAGGGGGGTGTACACCGTGATGTACACCCGATGTACCACTAGCATGGCTCATCATTTTTTACCGATACTGATTATGTGAACAAGGTGGGCAGAAAAAATTGTACAAATAAATAAATTCAATTTAAGATTAAGGGCCTGTTTGATAAGCAATTATTTTCCATAGAAAATGGAAAACAAATTTCAACTTCAACTTTTGTGTTGTTTGATACACTTTTTTCTATAGAAAAAACTTTCTTGATTTGGCTCACATGCTCATATTTTCCTTGATTTTGTGGAAAAATCAATTTCCACCAGCTTTTTTTTTTTTTT